ATTAAAGTGGACAGAAACAGAATAAAACTCATTAAAGCGTCTCTGTTAGTGTTTCCAACAATCACCAACTCTGGTTTGGTGGAAATAAATCCTTAATTCACCGACATAGATGAGAAACACAGCAGCAGCCAACAGCTTTACATGGAGGGATTCACATACACAGAGAGGGAGTGTGACCTCATTCTCTGCTCGGGGGCACCATGACTCCACTACTCTATATCTTCACATAGCAAATAGCTTTTTCTGCTATTGTAATGTTTAAAATCTCGTGTATATAACCTTCAACTTTATATTTGTTGCTAATGAAAGTTGTTGAGAACTTCGGGGGGGCACACACAGATCTAATTTCTTCAACACTGTTGGACTCTTTTTGCTCTGTGGATCGCTTGCTGAGTGTCATGTTTCCTGTCTGTGTTCTCCAGTCAGAGCCGTTCAATGGTCAGGGCAGCCTGCCATCTGGAGGAGCCGGAGGATACAATGCCTTCACACAGGCTGCAGTGAGCGGGGTAAGTCAATGAGTCCAGTTCAGCACCGACACACAGAAATATACTGTATGATTGCGGGCTTTTCTTGTTAAACACTTCATGAAATACTCTGAAGATTTGAAGTTCTAAACACTCGTCGTCATCGCCGTCTCGCAGCCAGGTCGGGGTGGAGTGATGCCCGGGTATCCTAGCTCACCGATGGGAGGGAATCCCACTCCTCCGATGACACCTGGGACGTCAATACCTCCCTACCTGTCCCCGGGCCAGGACACAAAACCCCCCTACCTTCCACCTGACATCAAACCCAACATCAACACACAGCAGCCCTCCACAGGTGAGACTCACTGCAGGAAGCACACACCAGGAAGTAAAACTGTGTTTTGTAATTGGTTTGGAGAATTACAGACACCTGATCTCTCCAGGTAGATGTCTTCTGGGGAAATTTTACAGAAACTTCCTGTCTTAAGTCTTAAGTTAAGATTAAGTTAGGTGTCTAAGATAGGATTCTTTCCAATTTGGTAAAACTAAATCCTAACTATCTTTAGGAATCTGATCCTAGCTTACTTAATCATATCTTATCTCAGGTTAGGAAATCCTAAATAGTCAATCCAACATCACTTATCAATTTTTACATCTGTTACCTAGCAACCGATGCTATTTTATCATTCCACCGAGCTAAACAACTTTGTAACCTCACTGAAACAAACAGAAAAACAACAGTAACTGATTGTCTGATATTATTTTTTTATTAGGACAGCTTAACGGTTATCCTAAAGTTAGCAGAGTTTATTTAAGATTTTGGGTAGTTAGGATGCTTGTGTAATACACTTTTCCTATCTTAATGTGATATGCAATATGATAAAAACATTGACTTGGTAACTCTAATGCAGGTTAGGTAGTTTCTGTATTATGTTTTCTTACTACAGTATTTATATGGAACAAAACAAAAGGAAGTATTTTACTTTTGTTTACTACTTTAACTACCGTACAGGAACTAAACTCAGTTCCTGGTTATTTTGGTCAAAATGCAGGTGAAGTTCCTGACTTCCTCCCAAAATGTCCTCGTTCCTGTAGTGGAAAACGCTCTAAAAGCCAACTCTTGTTTTCCATTCAAGGTAACCCCAGCGACGACCTGCGTCTGACTTTCCCGGTACGAGACGGCGTCGTGTTGGAGCCGTTCAGACTGGAGCACAACCTGGCCGTCAGTAACCACGCCTTCCAGCTGAGAGACTCTGTGTACAAAACGCTCATGTTGAGGTAGGAAGACTTTCCAGTCACTCTCATCTCCTTTGTTTCCTGTTTTGTATCTGGGTCTGACGAACACAATGTGGTTAAAAAGGAAGAGAGAATACACGTCCACACACATTTGTCCTCTTCCTGTAGTTTATCCATCTAGATTGTTTTGGTGAAATCCACCGTGGAGATGTTGGCCTTCTCTCCAAAATAAAGGAACCAGATTCATGTTTACATCCACTTATGTCCATGAGCAGATGCTGCTAACACTTCTGTGATAACACATTTATACCGCATGGTTTTCACCCAAAACTGCAGTTAAAGGGTACATTGATGGGTACCTGTGGAACCCTTTTTCATTCAGATATCTTAAAGTTAGAGGTCAAGGGACCCCTTTGAAAATTGCTGTGCCAGTCCCTCAGAACAAACACCACACAAACCCAAAATATGAAATCAAACCCATCATCAGGCCCAACAGCCTGAGTGCCATGCCAGTTTTTCCCCTCGCCAAAATGTATTCTAACTTACGGCCAATTCAGACCAAATCAGGCGCTGCGGCAAAAGTTCCCCTCCGGCTATTCATCATAAATGGGAGTAATGGATTTAGGTTTTGGTGTTGAGAGAGAGAGAGAGAAACACGTTATGTTCTAATTGTTTCACAGCAGTTATGTCCTAAAACACGCCTCTACATGAGCCTGTGGTAAATGATTTGGTCTGAATGGTCGTAGTTAGCCTCCTTCCAAGCTAGCACGACACGGTTGGTACGAGTAAATAAAAACAGGATACCGGCACTCACAGGTGATACCAGTACATTCACTGGAGCTTTAAAACCTGCTACAGCCTCTGAGAGACGGGACTGTCGGCCGAGGACGCCGGCGTCCTAGCGGAGGTTAAGAAGTGAAGTCACTGCTTTGTACTTCAGAACAAATGGAGCCTTTTTTCAGGAATATCTTTTCAGAGTCACACACAGCGAACTTAAAAGACCCTGTAACAACTCAGAGATGGTTTTATTGGGTTTTCCAAAACACGGCATTTTGTATATTTGGTGTCTCACACCTTCAGTTACATACAGTTGGAAATATCCCAAGTAAACAATAACTTTGCACACAAGAGAAATCCATAGTAAGCAATACTAGAAACACAAAATACCACTTTCTGTCAGCGATAACAAGGTGCTCCTGTGAGCGGTGATAGTCTCTGTTTATATTGGATTGAATGTATGTAGAATACATGGAGAAATATGTTCTCATAAACCACTATTGTAAAACTCACAACCTGCTAATAATGCTTCAAACTCAGCTGTTATATTATTCTATATCTTCTCCAATATCACATCTCCAGACTAGTCTTCTGCTTTCTGATGAGATGAGATGAATAAAGGATAAAGAGGATAAATATTTGATGATTACCATAAAAACCCTCTTCTAACTCCCATCTGTAACAGAATATGTGGCCTCAGTGTGAATTCGGAGAACCTCCCTGTTTCTCTTCCTGAGTGATTTTAAAAACCACCAGATGAGGAAAAACAAACGAGGAATGTTAGATAACCCCACCCAGTCGCTCCCTGATGGTTTGTGTTGTGTCGCCCCCTGCAGGCCTGATCTGGAGCTGCAGTTCAAGTGTTACCACCATGAAGACAGACAAATGAACACTAACTGGCCTGCATCGGTACAAGTAAGTACCATCAGCTTTATTGAGTTTATTAAGTCTGAGATAAAAGTATTTCTTTAAAACAGAAGTAGATATTTAATTATAAAGTTTAATGATTGTAAAAGCCCTACTTGTCATTTAATTGTGTTTTTTCTTCTGTATCAGGTGAGTGTCAACGCAACTCCTCTGTGCATTGAAAGAGGAGACAACAAAACCTCCCACAAGCCCTTGTACCTAAAGCAAGTGTGTCAACCGGGACGTAACACCGTACAGATCACAGTAACAGCCTGCTGTTGTGTGAGTAGACACCCTCCCTGTTAACACATTACTATGTCTGACATTAAATCCCATTTTAACAACATTTCCCCCCTCCTTCTTGTCTGTCCGCAGTCCCACCTGTTTGTGCTGCAGCTGGTCCACCGGCCGTCCGTCAGGTCCGTCCTGCAGGGTTTGATGAAGAAGAGACTCCTGCCGGCCGAGCACTGCATCACCAAGAGTGAGTGGGAATCCAGTTTGCTGTGGTTGGAAAGCATTGTGGTCCAAAACAGTAGCTGCTTTTGTTGGCTTACACTCATGTGTCTGTATACGGTGGTGTAAAGTAACTGTAATAATTAACCACTTGGCTTAACCCTGCCGTTGCTGGTCTGAATGATAGAGTGGTTCTGATTACTTTTTATCGTCTTTTTGTTTCAGTAAAGAGAAATTTCAGTAGTGGCACCATCCCCGGGACTCCTGGTCTGAACGGAGAGGACGGCGTAGAGCAGACGGCAATCAAAGTTTCCCTCAAATGCCCGATCACGTTCAGACGAATCCAGCTGCCAGCCAGAGGTCACGACTGCAGACACATACAGGTGGGCTCTCACACACTCTCACACTCACACAC